CTCTCTCTCTCTCTCTCTCTCTCTCTCTCTCTCTCTCTCTCTCTCTCTCTCTCTCTCTCTCTCTCTCTCTCTCTCTCTCTCTCTCTCTCTCTCTCTCTCTCTCTCTCTCTCTCTCTCTCTCTCTCTCTAGTGCATTAAATTTCTTTAAGAACCAGTTTTTATGAATTGAATCATGTTCTGCTGCTACACATCGGGTCGGGTCGACTGTTTTGGTTTATGAATTGAATCATGTTCTGCTACTATTCTGAACGTGAGTTAATATTTTTTGGGTCCAATACTTTTAATAACATTACAGAAGATCCAACTAACTCTGTTTTGGTTTGAACTACTCTGTTTTTTTTTTTTCTAATCTTTTTCACTCTAACCTAACCTAACCTAACCTAACCTGCGCTCTCACGGTTTAGATCCGATAATCCGAATCCTTACGCCACGATTTGTTTCCCATGTTACAAAACCCAATCTTATTTCTACTTTCATATTGCTATTTCCAAAAAAAAAGAATACATACATGATGATATAAGATACTCTCTGTTTCATTAAGTAAACCCTAGAAGCTGCCTTGCGCTGACATTTATATGGATGATTTGAATAATAACTAAAACGACCTAACAGTATACGAAACGTATCTTCGGTTATGTTTGGGCTTGGACACATATGTGAACCGAAAAAAATATAGTCACGTGAAGAATGTTACGATCGACAGTCATTCAATTTTCCGTGAATTTATTGAGAATCCAAGCAATGATGTTCAATCCTTTTCAATGGCATTAATTTCCTTCCAATTTACGACCTAATTAGGGCATCCTTATTAGGGTATCTTACATCAATGTTTTCCTTAAAAAAGTCAATTTTAAGGAAAACATTGATGTAAGATACCCTAATAAGGATGGTCTAATAGTGTTTGTGAATTGTGAGTATCACTACTCACATCGGTTGGTTACCAGGCAGGTCTTAATATGGAAAGGCACACACAATTGATATTTGCTGAAACATGACATTATTCAAAAACACACTAACTTGAAAACACATAGAACAAGACCATAAATGATTCACAAGGAACAAGACCATAGATCGAACTAAAATGACTTGTTATGAGATTAGGTGCATTGAGGATATGATTAGTCCATGAAAAATTCAGTTGTGTCTGCATGCAATGTAGCTAGCAAGAGCCACCAGAGGCGCCGCCTTTTCCCGATCAAACCCTAAAAGCTGTTCCTCCGCTTCCATGCTCAGTTTCTCTGCAAATTCCCTTGATCTCTCCAGACCTATCAGCCTTGGATACGTCACCTTTCCGGCCATTACATCTTTTCCAGCGGTCTTACCCAATTCCTCAGTGGATTTCGTTACGTCAAGAATATCATCGACCACCTGAAACAGTAGCCCAATACACCTCGCATACTTTCTAAGCTTCTCGATTTCTTCCTCCGTTCCACCTCCCATTATAACCCCTAACACCGCCGCTGCCTCCAATAATGCCGCCGTTTTGTGGAGATGGATGAACTCTAGATGCTCCAATCCGACGCTGTCTGGATCCATTCTTTCGCTGGTTAGATCTATCATTTGTCCAGCAACCAGCCCTGTTGTCCCTATGGCCTTTGCCAGCTCAATTACCGCATGGATCATCCTCTCAGGAACGACCAACCCACTAGACCTAACAGTCATGTGTTCAAACGCCAAAGCAAGGAGTGCATCACCTGCCAAAACCGCCATGTTTTCTCCAAATACCTTGTTTAGGCAAAAAAAAGTGTTTAACACTAATGAATAGTTACTGAATGATGAAATCTAGTGACCAATTCTTTGAGACTTCATATGATTTTTAACGACATACCTTGTGGCTGGTGGGCTTGCCTCTACGGAGGTCGGCATTGTCCATGCACGGGAGATCGTCATGAATAAGAGAGCTTGTGTGGATCATCTCTACCGCGCAAGCAGCTGGCATGGCAGTAGCCTCGTCGCCTCCCACAAGCTCGCAGGCGGCAATGCAGAGCAGAGGCCTCACACGTTTCCCGCCAGCTAGCAATGAGTACCGCAGGGCCTCCTGGACCGTGAGGGGTTCTTGGAGCGGTACTGAAACGTTGAGAGCCGCACTTACAGATTCAGCTTTACGGTTCATATAGGACTTGAAGTCAAAGGGAGAGTGGCGATCATTGCTATTTCCCTCTGTTGGAATCACGTCTCGGCCTGGTAATGAGGTGAGTGCAGAAGAGATAGTGCGTTTTTTAAGAGTCTTGACGGATGATATGGAGTTGTCTCTTCTTTCTTTGGATTGAAGGAAGAGGGGGAATGAGCTGAGAAGAACAGTAGTAGCCATGGTCGGTCCACCTTCTCTAGAAGAACTTTATGATTGGTGCCCATTAAGAGTCTGTGGAGCTCTTAATAAGTTTCTTCTAGTCGGAAGCAATGAAGGTCAATTTTAACTTGTATTATCGGCTAACAAGATAGTATGGTTTTTAATCATTAAATTACATAAATAAACATGCAGTTACTTATTTACTTACCACGTACATATATCAATATAATTTTTAACTTGGATACATTAAATAATTAGGAAAATAAACAAATATCAATGTAAAACATGATAGATACAGTATGTGAATTAATTGAGAATCCACTTTGTGAGCTCTGATCCTATAATTATGATTCTTTCATTATCAAAGCGTTAAACCTCATCAGACAAAGTGATAATTCGGGCTTTGGGTTAAAGTGGATGCTGAGTCTCGAATCTGCAATATGAACTGTTGTTCATTCCTTTAATTTTTTACTGGAATATGTGAATCTAAAGAGATCTCTTTCCTTTCTCTATATAGCAAGAGTGTTTTGGAGGTGCCTTGAAATTACAGATAGAGAAACTCAAGGTACAATCTCTTTTATTACTTCATGATTTGTAGTTAGAGCAATGTGAGTTTTGGAGTCATTATGAAAGGGGTATTGGGTGGACGTACAAAGAGGTCAAAAAGTGTTCGATTTTGCCTTTGGGTTCACTGTATCCATCACCCTCTTTGTAGAAAACATCGAAGAGGCGTGCAAAGTTGAGGCATCGCAGTAGAACCTGGCGCGGCACATGGTCATGTGTGTTCATGAACTCCTCCATAACCACTTTTCTGTGGTCGATGTACATTTTACGCAACTCCTGGGATGCTTCGTCCTTGGTGACTCCATATTGTTTCATGTAACAGTTGAGCCCATTAGCCACCTCTCCTCTGTTCATCTCGGTCTGCAAATATCATTTATTCACGAGGACTAGAGAAGAGGAAAACAAAAATCACAAGCACCAAAAAGATCCCTTTAGTTTGTTGTGTACCTCGTAGCTTCCTATGTCATTTGCTATACGGAACATTACATTCAGAGCTTCGATGATTAGGGGTCTGGAATCGAGCCACTCAAAAGCTTCCTTCTCATTGATATCTTCCATTCCTATAAAGCAATACGCTGCATAATCACTCATCCCAGCTGTCAACAACCCAACCTTCATGTACTCATCAAAGGTTGGTACATGGCCTGTTCGTGCCCACTTTGATATCTGTTTATTGGCGTTCGCAACAATCTTGTACTGTGTTTGAGATCCAAAGAACTAATTAGAGTCCACAAACTATACATCTACATTGGTTTTAAATTCCGCTTGTGTGGCTGTATTACCTTTTCCAACACTTGTTTCACGCCGTATGATCGTCCTTTCGGTCTCATTTCTTGTTCAATCTCTTTCATAACTTCAAACAAATTTTCGAGGACGATCCGCAAATAGTCCGGTAGTTTATCATCGGCACCAATATTCAACCTGGCCGGGCCAAGAACTTTCACACGCTTAAATAAATTTAAAAGAAAAAGAATGCGGCATATATATATGAATAAACACACATATGTATACATATACAGCTGCACCTCTGCATATATTCATTAAGAACCCTAACTTCTGCAAAAGTTGCATATGCATCATATGTATCATCCACAACATTCAAGATCATGATGGTTTTAGCCACTATGATCCTCCCAAGAGAATATTGTGGCTCGAAGTACGGTCCCAGACACCCGAGATGGCACTCTACAAGTCTATCCCTGATGTAAGGTAGCTTAGATACAAGATCTAAGTCCTTCCACCATCTGCAACCAAAAAAGTTAATGAATAGGGAAAACTGAAATCGAGACCAATGTTATCAGTCAAGGTTAGAGATGAGTATGTCACTTGGTGAGAGTTTTGAGCTCTTGGATGTAATGAAACTGGCAAAAGTTGAAGCTAAGCTTTGCAAACTTGAGCAGGATCTCGTCGTGACCTTCTTCTTGTTCGTAGTAAGATATATATTCTCTTGCCACTAGTACTTCTATGTTACAGTATCGAGATATGTTTAGTGAGTTTTTTATATGCTTGAAGAGGTGGGGAGTTGCACCGGATACGTTACCACCTGCCCATGACTCCAAGTGATTCCTCGTAAAACTTAATGCTTCATCCATTATATCTTCAGTGGGTGTTCCCAGATGCGCTACTTCGAAAAACTGTAGCAGTCCTCTAACATCTCTGGCTAGACTCTCCTTGAACTTCCCATCTTCACCTCTGAATTTATCAAAGGCATCTACAATGAAACCACGTAATCAAAGTAGATTTGTAATTAAGTAAGTACATATATGTGTTCTGCTATGAATATGTTGCATGCATGTATGCGAATCAAAGAAACTGACATTATCTTACCGCAAGACATCTTGTGACCGTACAGTCTAAAGACCTCAAACATAATGGAGATTGTTTCCAAATCATCTTCCCCAACCATTATGTCATCCAACTTTTTGAAACTCTGTTTAAGGATCTCTTGAATATCCATATCAAAATGATAAGAGATCCCGAGGCTGACGAGCAAATGGATGAGACGAATCTTCTCCTTGTCGCTGCTTTGAGAAGACACGAGCATGTCCCTCACCAGCGGCTTCATAGTTTCAATCTCTCTTTCTAGTTCATCAAATTCCTAAGAAAATGTATACGATTGGCTGGTCAAGAACCATGTTTTCTACAACAAGATATGTGAAAAAGGTTCATATTCACTTACAGTGCGGTCGTGGGAAACAGAGAGAAAGTGATCTCCCCAAAAAGAGGGAGAAAAATGCGTGGAAGGACGACTACACTCGAGATCATCACTAGTCTTAGTAGATCTTACACAGACCAAGTGGTTTTTTTTTGCCGGTTTCAGGGAAAGAGTGGGCTCGTGAAGCCAACGCTGAGGAAAGAGAGAGAGGTTGGTCGTGAGACAGAGAGGGACGCTGTGAACGTTAGCAAGACCAAAACTCATTATTGTTGCTTCCATGTTGTTGCTGTAACAAGAGAAAGACGGAATAGTATTTAGAGGAACCCTGTTTTTAAAGGATTTGATTTCTATTTCATATTACTCTGTTTTATGTAAGTAAACCCTGGACGCTGTCTTTTGATATGGTTGGATATGGTTGGGCGGCAAATGTCAGATGATAATTTAATTCGATTCAGTGGGAAATTCAAATTAAGTATGATGTTATTCAGTCCATCCAAATGTCAATCAAAGGCTGGTCTTAATATGGAGAGGCACACACAATTGATATTTGCTGAAACATGACATTAACGTTGAAAAACACAGTTCAACTAAAAACACTGAGAACAAGACCATAAATGATTCACAAGGAACAAGATCATCGATAATGCCACCAAAGAAAAAACAAGGCCATAGATCGAACTAAAATGACTTGTTATGAGATTAGGTGCATTGAGGATATGATCAGTCCATGAAAAATTCAGTTGTGTCTGCATGCAATGTAGCTAGCAAGAGCCACCAGAGGCGCCGCCTTTTCCCGATCAAACCCTAAAAGCTGTTCCTCCGCTTCCATGCTAAGTTTCTCTGCAAATTCCCTTGATCTCTCCAGACCTATCAGCCTTGGATACGTCAGCTTTCCGGCCATTACATCTTTTCCGGCAGTCTTACCCAATTCCTCAGTTGATTTCGTTACGTCAAGAATATCATCGACCACCTGAAACAGTAGCCCAATACACCTCGCATACTTTCTAAGCTTCTCGATTTCTTCCTTCGTTCCACCTCCCATTATAACCCCTAAAACCGCCGCTGCCTCCAATAATGCCGCCGTTTTGTGGAGATGGATGAATTCTAGATGCTCCAATCCGACGCTGTCTGGATCAATTCTTTCGCTGGTTAGATCTATCATTTGTCCAGCAACTAGACCTGTTGTCCCTATGGCCTTTGCCAGCTCAATTACCGCATGGATCATCCTCTCAGGAACGACCAACCCACTCGACCTAACCGTCATGTGTTCAAACGCCATAGCAAGGAGTGCATCACCTGCCAAAACCGCCATGTTTTCTCCAAATACCTTGTTTAGGCAAAAAAGTGTTTAACACTAATGAATAGTTACTGAATGATTAAATCTAGTGACCAATTCTTTGAAACTTCATATGATTTTTAACGACATACCTTGTGGCTGGTGGGCTTGCCTCTACGGAGGTCGGCATTGTCCATGCACGGGAGATCGTCATGAATAAGAGAGCTGGTGTGGATCATCTCGACCGCGCATGCAGCTGGCATGGCAGTAGCCTCGTCGCCTCCCACAAGCTCACAGGCGGCAATGCAGAGCAGAGGCCTCACACGTTTTCCGCCAGCTAGCAATGAGTACCGCACTGCTTCCTGGATCGTGAAGGGTTCTTGGAGCGGTACTGCAATTTCGAGAGCCGCACTTACAGATTCGGCTTTACGTATCATATACGAATTGAAGTCAAAGACCGAGTTGCAATCATTTCTTTTTCCCTCTGCTGGAATCATGTCTCCGCCTTGTGAGGTGACTGCACAAGAGAGAGATAAAACGGTGTGTTTCTGGAGATTATTGAATGAAGATATGGAGTTGTTTCTTCGTCCTCTGGATTGGATGAAGAGAGAGGATGAGCTGAGATGAACAGTAGTAGCCATGGCCGATCCACCTTCTCCGATATAATTTTATAATTGGGTATGCCCAGTTAAAAGAGTTATGTGGAGCTCTTAATAGGTTCCTATCAATGCTTGGAAGCAATGAAGGTCAACGTATATACTTTGTTATTTGAAATTGTAATCTGCGAACAAAGTAATATAAATTTTCAATTATGGGTTGCATATGTCCACGTTCTATGTACATATGTTAACAAAGTAAGAAGTTCAAAATAATCATTAGAATAATTGACTGCAGTTCAGATGCCGTTAGTGATTGGAGAAAATACTAATAAAAAGTTTGACTTCAGAATCCTAGAGAATTATGAGCCTTTTGCCCAATCTTTAGTCAAGACATTGTGAACTATAATAATTTTTCTGTAAAGTCTGAACCTAGAACATAATGACTGTCTTCACTTCTGGGACACTTGATCAGGTTAAGTAAAATATAGAGAATCAGGTACTTACAGTTCATGTTTGATCTGCTGTAGGAGAACACGTTTGGGGCATTGAATCCACGAGTGACGAGAGCAAAGCAAATCTCTTGATCTGCGAGAGAAAACCATATACTCTCAGATAGCATGCAAAAGTCTGATACATAAAAGGCAGATAACTTAGCTGGTGTATGAATGGGTCACCTGTTTATATCAGGATCAAGTGAGTTTTGAACTAACAAGTCAAACGCAATGCTCATCTTTGCAATTCTGCAGTCTTTAGATCAATGCAGTCAAAACAGATGTTATGCGGAACACATTACTGAAAGCACAGAGCTTCGGATGATTTGTTTTTCCTTGAGCATCCATTTTAGTATTCAACCAGCAAAAACATCCTCATGCTCTCTATTGCTCACAACATGCGGGTACTAAAAAAGTCTTAGGTGGTATCACCCATTTTATGCAGCACTATGAACAACTAACTTCACGCATTTATATGTCTTTTTTTTTTTGCTTTTAATCCTAGGTAATATCTGCCACGGCAACCATGTCTTTCTTGGTCATCTCTTCTGAAAAAGTTGAGAAGCTTCAGATATTTCGTCATACTCACACTCTGGAGGCATGGATGAAACTAACCCATTAATCTTCCCACAGGCTTGAAACTATAACTTACAACCGACATCTCCCCTCGTCTCACTTTCAGAAACAAACCAAACCCATGATTAAAACAACCATCAACCATTGCAGTTCAGAAAATCACATTATTTTCGGAGGGCAGCATCAAATATACATCCCCTTTGCAATACCCATCAAATAGCGAGATAATAAGAGCGTTGGGAGAAACAAGATGCAACCAATTTGCAACCGTAGTTCAAACGAATCGTGGCACTTAAAAACCTCTGTTCAGAATCCAAGGCGTAACCATGACATTGTAAGAAGTTGTGGCCTTGTGAGTTCTCTGGGGCATTTCGTCGAACACCTTCCTTGCTTTACCCATCATACCGTTTATACACATAAGAGGTCATAAGATCCAACACGATATACACCTGCTGAAATTTTCTTCCATATTTGATATCTCTGGTCTGAAGATCGCAGTGACCGGACGGGTTTGCTTGATTTCAGAAAATAGCGTGGCGTGTACGTTTCCCCACTTGAGCTTAGAAACAGTATATGCCTAGATAAACTGGAGAAACGCCGAACGCGCACCTGAGTAGAAACCGTAGATTAAGCCATTGGTTGCAATCGCTGGCATGACGACGGCATGGGTTGAATCGAGAGAGGGACGGGAGAGGCGGGAAGCAACCTCAAGGGTTCTCTATCAGCGCAAGCCACTTTATTTATTTATAATACTGTAATAAGATTATAAAGGGTAATTTCGTTATTCAACGTCATACGCTTCCTTTAATTTGAATCGTAACATCCTTTGAACAAAACATCCTTTGACTTTAACCTCTAGTTGTTGTTGTCAACATGATAATTGATACGTTGTTTCTAAAATTTTGTTGTGTAAAAGCCACCGGACTTGTACGTATTCGCCCCAAATTATCACCTTAAACACGGCCGCTTACGAGGAGGAGCCACCCTCAACATCGTATCTTTCGTACAAGCAAACTAAAAAGGGGACGGGAGAAACATGTTATGTAGTGTGTGTCAGTGGGAACAAGTTCCCCATCAAACTTTGATTAGTCTACATAGCTTTGAGAGTTTTACAAGACGACTTTACCACCTTACTTTTGGTTTGATGAGACACAATTTTATCTTCTCTTAAAATGCAATCTTTATGTAAGATAAGATTAAAATTAAAAGGTTTGTATCATATATTTTACACTAAAGGGATGTTCCGACAAAAACATTAGAGAATAATTTGGAGAAGATTAAAGAAGAGTAAAAGAGAGGTGGAGACATGTGTACCGAGCGATAATTGATGCGACGAAGATGGGGTAGGTCGGTCCACTAGAAGAACCACCACTCGTGCTAATGCTTCGAATCTCATTTATTCGGTCAAATCATATACTTCTTCTCCAACGTCCAACACCCACATGTGACACGTACCTTATCAAGCATATCGTTCGTATACGACCCCTCCAAATTAAAGTTTCCTATTTTTTCTTTAAATATATCTCAAATACTGATTTTAGTGTCGGTACGTGTATTGTGTGATTGTGACATCCATTTGCATTCCTACATTATAATTATGTCAAACACAAACCAATAATATTTCGAACCGTTTTTATTCGTACAAATTACAAAACTTATGAAGAAATTATCTATTAGCTAGATTTACTTTGTTTTATTTAAAGTAGATACATATAAAGCTTTTACAAATTCTGAGACATTTTATGGTATTTATAACACATCTTCTTACGTACACCCCCGATGCCAGTCAATAATTATGATTTTAGATCCGAAACGTTTCAATTAATCAAATTGTTAATTAAAAGGTAATACAAATTTTATCAATTGTTAAAAGGTAATACAAATTGTATCAATTATGTGGGTTTTTTTTTTGTGGGTATTTCATATATTCTCTATTCCACATATTTTGTTTTCACTTCTCATAATGTTTTGGTTGCCAGTTGCCACCAATCATAACTATTTTGTTTTTGTTTAAGAAATGATATAATTGGTATATGAAATAGATTTTGACATTTCATTCAAATTATTCTTTCCTGTAGAAATCAATTCTTCAAGAATAAAATCTTTCATAAAAATATTTTTACTTTGTGGATATTTTATTGTACTGGTATTTTTCTTTGTCTACATAGTTAGTGGTATTATCCGGAGCATTTTTTTAAAGTTCTCCATTTTCAAAAATAAAATAATTCTCTGCGTCCGTTGATTTGTTCCTAAATTAATTGCAAACACGAGTAAAAGTTAGATGTCTTGGCTTTGTTTCTTCGCCTGTCCTAAAACCATATCTAAAAGTGGGTTTGTGCATTGTACCAAACTTGAAAGATCTTGCCTGTACGCATATTCCACTTGGTACATTTGGAATTTGACATTCAACTAACTTTATTTAATTATATATTTATGCTCTAGAATTAATTTTCATTCAGTCATGTCTCATCAATGGTCCATTACCAGTTAGGCCAAAAGCTATACTATCTCAATTCTCATTCTTTAGTATTAGCTATTATATATTATCATCATCAATATCACATTACATATATATGATCACATGATTGGTCGTGTAGTGTGGGGGGACATCTTATCTCATATGCCAATTTGCCTAATTAATTAATTAACCCTTTCCCTATATATAAGACCTTAGCTTTGGCTCAAGCTATAATATATTTTTAGAGTAGTACATAAATATTTCTCTCTTCAAAACTCTTTTGATCCCCTCTCACAAATGGCGTCTGTGCAATGTGCGTTTGATCATCATCAAGGTGGCATGGAGATTAACAACGATGAGCTTATCATGTCGTTCTTGGAAGAAGAATCACCACCATTGGAAAACCATAGTAGCATCAACAAAGAGGAAGAAGAGAAATTAAATCGTGTGATTAGATCACTAGAAGTGGAGATCAACATGACTTCTCCGACGACCATAGAAGCCAGGAAAATGGATCTGCAACAGACAACATGCGGTCTTGAAGATGATCATTTCGGATGGTTTAACGACTTTGATATTGGTATGATTTCGTCGCAAAATGATGATGAGATGATGAATTGGTGTACAGAACTTTCTTACATGGATGGTATGGTAGATACTAGTAGTGTTCTTGAGATTGAAGGTGGTGATTATTACTCTCATATTAACTATGGACTTACATTTGAGGAACCAACTCTTTCTCTATGGCAAGAGGATACTGATGTAGTTATGTACTGATTGATTTCGTGAAGTCATAAGATAGCAAAAGCTGTGTCATAATCCGTTAACAAAAAGTAAACAAAGTCTGTTTTATAAATCTTTAACAAAAGAGAAGAAGGCTGTTTCAATCAGTTAATTAACCTTTAAAATTCATGTATGTATTAGTAAACGTTATGTTAATGTTACATGCTCTTTTCTTTTACCTATAAAAATGTTACATACTCTCTCTTTTTTTTTTTTTCCTTTTATAATTGTTATGATTTTTAAGAAATTAATAGAAAAATGTGTTAAAAACTCTTTATGGTGAATCGTGATTATCACTTGAAAAGAATAATTTAGCCGTCAAGACTAGATGCATCTACGTATAATTAACTTAATAAGGAGAAAAAAATGGCATATATATGTCACTATCAGATTAAAGATAACAGTATAACACTAATATCAAAATAAGTGATCAAAGGGCAAATGGTTTTGGACTCTTGGTGTAGAATTTGGTTAAAAAATTTTGAATCTAGTTTGGATGTTAAATCATGACAGAAATTTCTGAAAAGTGAAAATCACGTTACCTGGCTTTAGTACTATAAAACATAACTAAACCCAAAAAAATATGAAAGTCTTTTGTTTTGTGTGTCAACAACATGCGATACGCGAATTTGGATTCATATCATCGACAACAACAGTTAACAACAAGTGATGGTTGGATGTGAGAATTTTTCGAAGAACTTTTGAAACTGATTTGGAGACTTTAAAATAAGGTTATAGCCTAGTTTATTGAGTTACAATTCAGAATGCATAACATAGCACAAAGCCCATGGGCCATGGGCGATTGATCAACATATCCATGAATAACTGGATATATACAGTACTCAATAGTCCACTTCTGTATACAGTATGTATCAGGCGCAGACATCAATTCATAATTTTACTATGTACACTAATTAGTTATTTGATCAGATTAAAGATAACAGTATAACACTAATATCAAAATAAGTGATCAAAGGGCAAATGGTTTTGGACTCTTGGTGTAGAATTTGGTTAAAAAATTTTGAATCTAGTTTGGATGTTAAATCATGACAGAAATTTCTGAAAAGTGAAAATCACGTTACCTGGCTTTAGTACTATAAAACATAACTAAACCCAAAAAAATATGAAAGTCTTTTGTTTTGTGTGTCAACAACATGCGATACGCGAATTTGGATTCATATCATCGACAACAACAGTTAACAACAAGTGATGGTTGGATGTGAGAATTTTTCGAAGAACTTTTGAAACTGATTTGGAGACTTTAAAATAAGGTTATAGCCTAGTATATTGAGTTACAATTCAGAATGCATAACATAGCACAAAGCCCATGGGCCATGGGCGATTGATCAACATATCCATGAATAACTGGATATATACAGTACTCAAAAGTCCACTTCTATACATGTATCAGGCGCAGAAATCAATTCATCATTTACTGTGTACACTATTTAGTTAATCTTGCACAAAACCACCATCAACTTAGCTTCACTCGTTAAGTGAAATTATCGTTTACAATACATACAGTTTGGAAATGTAGCTTGTGCAGTAGAGACAACGTAAGAGAAAAATCAAGACAAACGAAAAGTTCAGTTTGGTGTTCTATAAAAAAGCATTGGTTCTATTTGGACAACAAGTTAATTTTCTAGTCTTTTTGGGTATATTCTTAGTGACTAAGAAATAGATTGCATATGATATGAACATCAAGTATATGCTTTTATATTCCAATTCATCATTTTAATAAGATTTGGCTGCTTTACAGTCAATCAACTTCCTTTTCTTTTCTTTTCTTGATTTTTTTTTCTATTCCCATGCACGTTGGTATATTATGGTGTAAACTATTACTGTGAAGCCACTTTTTTAAAAGCAGAGGCTATGCAACAAACACTTCTTTTTATTGTTTAGTGTTTACCATCCAATGAAATTAGTAAACTACTACATATACCAGGCAGATGTTTGTTTCTTCATATCTTATTATGTATCTTTTAACTTTAATTTTGGAGAAAAAAGCTTACTTAGTTAATTAAAAAGTTCTTTCCAACTTTAATCTTTCTGACATGTAAGACCAATTATGCAAAGCTAATTTAACACTTCTCCTCTATAGAAAATAGACTTCAATATAGTAAATCTCAACTTTCTTGTATATGACAATGTTTCCAAGGATTTTAATCACAACATGTAGCAATAAAAACTTGAACCTATCAGGAAATCTATTTACGTTAAAATAATAATAATCAAGGTATATATATAACTATAAACTATCTAAATATTCCAGGATATACAAAGTCTTTTTTTTTTTTGTTTTTAATGTGATTTGAACTCACCTAAACTAATGCAAAATCAATGTGATCAATACTGTTTTTTCCAATATATTATGTAATAGCACCTATATATAAATCACAAAACGAACTTTGTGACGTAAACTCTATTAAGAAAAATGTTATAGTAAAGTGAAAAACTGATTTTTTTCCCACATATCTACCTCTTTATCTTAAAAAAAAAATAATAATCATCATTACTTTAAACAAAAAATTTCTGCATATTATATCACTGTAAATCAAGAAGGAATATATAATCTCCCAAGAGCTTATAAAAATGTTATTGAGAAATAACAATTTAACATTTGTTTTCCCTCTCAAAAAGAACGGCCAAACTAATAAAGAAAGCAAAAAGCCAAAAACAAAAAGAAAAAAAAAAAAAGAAAAGAGAAGAAATCGCACTCATCATCATCATCCCTCTCAAAATCCTCTCTTTTTCAAAAAAAAATTCCGCCATGGAAACTCACCTCGCTAAGCAATTACCGCTTTATATAAATCCTCACATCTCCACTCACCACTTCCCTCCTTCCTCCTTCCCTCCCTAAACCCCACCGACGACGAGCAAATCCCTAGAAGAAGAAATATCAGCTTAATTCGCTTGATTCTGATTTTTTTCTCTCTCTCTCTCTCTCAAAATATGTCTAACGAAATCGTCCCCGTCGACCCCATCGACGTTCCTAGCACTAGTTACTCACGCCCTATTCTGGGTCGTCGTGAAGATGATTCACCAGAACGAACAACCGGGCACGATTTCACGAGATCCCTAACTTTTCGGGAACATGTTTCGTCGGAGCCTTTTGATAGCGAGAGGCTTCCTGCCACATTAGCCTCAGAGATTCAGCGGTTTCTTCGTATAGCTAATTTGGTTGAGTCTGAGGAACCTCGTATTGCTTATCTTTGTTAGCTCACTCTCCCCTCTCTTCCCTAATTTTTTCAGCTCAATTTTCGAATTTCCCCTGTTTTTTTTTCTTCGAATTTTCGAGCTTTCTTTACCAATGTTGAAACTTTGCGGGTTGCAGGCCGGTTTCATGCTTTCGAGATAGCTCACCACATGGATAGGAACTCTACGGGAAGAGGTGTACGGCAGTTCAAAACTTCACTTCTTCAAAGGCTTGAACAGGCAAGTCATCAAAACCAGTAGAGATGGAAGCTAAACAGATGATCCAGTTGACTTTTGTTTTGACTTCTTTGTATCCTTTCTAGGATGAAGAGTTTACTGTGGGAAGAAGGAAGGAGAAGAGTGATGTTCGGGAGCTCAAACGTGTTTATCATTCTTACAAGGAGTACATTATTAGACATGGTGCAGCATTCAATCTCGATAATAGGTACTACTTTTACTAACTATTGCTTCCTTTTTTTTTTTACTTCAATTTCAGGCAGCCAACGCTTAAATGTTTGGATTTTTTTCTCTTAATAGTCAGCGAGAGAAGTTGATTAACGCACGCAGAATTGCTTCTGTTTTGTATGAAGTTCTTAAGACAGTCACAAGTGGTGCTGGCCCGCAGGTTCTTGCCTCTTTTTTTTTGTTTTTTGGTTTCTCTCCTCCCGAATCTATATATATAACTTGTGCATTGGTTTCACAATTTAGGATGGCTAACTTGAAATACTCTGTTTCATGATAGGCCATTGCGGATAGAGATAGTATTCGTGCAAAATCTGAGTTCTATGTGCCATATAACATTCTTCCTCTTGATAAAGGAGGGGTACACCAAGCCATCATGCATCTGCCTGAGGTATACATATATATTGTCTCATGGGGAGGAAAGCAAACTATTTTGTTTTCTAACCAATTAATCACTGTTTCTATATGTTTTGTTTTCTTGTTCTGATTTCTTATTCTAGTATGCATTGTTCTCTCACACAGCTTTTTGTTTTTTTAACGGTGAAATTTTCCTTATGTCCTAAAATTACAGATTAAAGCTGCTGTTGCAATTGTACGTAACACTCGCGGGTTGCCTCCTCCAGAGGATTTTCAGAGACACCAGCCTTTTGTGGATTTATTTGAATTCCTTCAGTATGCATTTGGGTTCCAGGTACTTTTGAGGAACTTGGTATCAGTATTGTAAAGACTGTAGTTACAGATGGTGAACAGACTTTCAAATTTTTTCTTCCGCTAGAATGGAAATGTTGCCAATCAGAGAGAGCATATGATCCTACTACTCAGTAACACCATAATACGTCAACCTCAAAAGCAGTCTTCAGCACCGAAGGTGTTCTGTTATGTCGCCTTTTTCTTGAATAAATTAAGTTATCAGTCTTTGAAACTGATATTATCATAATTCTTGTAACCAGTCTGGTGATGAGGCAGTAGATGCGTTGATGAAGAAGTTTTTTAAGAACTACACAAACTGGTGCAAATTTCTTGGGAGGAAAAATAACATCAGGTATTTTTAGATAATCTTCATCTGTTCACCATCGATAGTTTTTTCTCTTCTTAAAAGCCATTTTTTAAAACTGTTTGGCCTCACGATCTACCTGCAGGTTGCCTTACGTGAAACAGGAAGCCCTACAATATAAAACACTGTATATAGGACTCTACCTTCTCATATGGGGAGAGGCGTCAAACTTGAGGTTCATGCCAGAGTGCCTGTGTTATATTTTCCACCATGTAAGCTTAAATTTTCTGTTTCTATGGTATTAATAATTCTTCTTAGGAAGTTCATCACTCAATCTGATCAAAATTCACAATGTTGATGTTGATGATAATTCAGATGGCATATGAATTGCATGGAGTTTTAACTGGTGCAGTCAGTATGATAACTGGGGAGAAGGTTCTGCCAGCATATGGTGTAGGACACGAATCTTTCCTTGTGAATGTAGTTACCCCCATATACAGGGTTGTCGAAAAGGTTATCTTCTGTTT